AAGTATACATGCCTGTGAAACCACCACCACAATCAAGACAATAAAATATCCATCTGCTCTAGAAGTTTCCTTCTACTCCTTTGTAAGTGATCCCTCCGCACCCACATCCTCCCCTAGTCAATTGCCAATGCTTTCCATCCCTAAAGATTGGGTTTTTAGATAAATAATTTTTATATAAAGGAATGATACTGTCCATACCTTTTTTTGGTCTGGCTTCTTTCACTCAGAATAGTTATTTTGAGATTCATCTACATGTATCTTATTTAATAATTTTCATTACTTTTTTTTTTTTTTTAAGAACGAAACACTCCCCAGTATTTATTCATTTATTCTCGTGGCCATTCAACATTTTTTGAACATCTTCTCTGGGCCAGGTGAGGCTCTGAGGTAGCAGACAAGGAAATGAAGATTAGGGTATCAGACAAACCCTTGCCCTCCGGATTTCAGACTCTAATGAAACAATTTAATTGACAACTAAATCAACAATTCCAGTGCTGTGTGGTAAGTGCTGGGGTAGCAGTAAACATAGGGTATGAATGAAACAAGGTTTAGAATTATTAAGGGCCATGTTGAGAGCATGGGCACCTGTGGCCTTGTGAGGCTGGTGATCCCCTTGACCAAGATGTGGATGGCAGTAAGTCTGCGGGTGAACAATTCGCGTTACTTTTATTGCTGAGTAATATCCCCTTGAATGGCCGTGTCACAGTTTGATTATCCATTCTCCTGTTGGTGGACTATTGAGTTATTTATAGCTTTGGGACATTATAGATCAACCTGTTGCCTGCGGCTTTTGTTTTTAATCTCTTTATATTGTCTATTAAAGCACAAAAGCTTATTACTTTGTTCTTTAAATGCTTTTGTTGTTGGATCTGAGCCATCTTTGCCTAATCAAGGTCATAGAGGTTTTCTTCCAGAAATTTTATAGTTTTAGATTTTATATTTAGATATATGATTCTGAGTTAATTTTTTTTTTTTTTTGAGTTGGAGTCTCACTCGGTCGCCCAGACTGGAGTGCAGTGGCTGCTCCCGGCCACCGCAGCCTCAACCTGCTGGGCTCCGGCGATCCTTCAGCCTCAGCCTTCCGAGTAGCTGGAATTACAGGCGTGCGCTACCACGCCCGGCTGATTTTTTTATTTTTTATTTTTTATTTATTGTAGAGATGAGGTCTCGCTGCCCATTCGGGTCTCGAACCCGCGGGCTCAGGCAATCCACTCACCTCAGCTTCCCAAAGGCGCGGGATTACAGGCTGAGCCACTGAGCCCGGCTGAGTTAATTTTTAAAGTATAGATCAAAGTTCATGGGGTTTTTTTTGCTTATAAATATCTAATTGTTCCAGCACCTTTTGTTGCACAGATGATCTTTTCTCCACTGATATGGTCTGTACCTTTGTCAAAAAGTTGTTGTCTGTGTTTTTGTATTTTTAGTGTGTTTGTTTACAGACTTTCTAGTCTGTTTCATTGATTTATCTGTTTTTATAGCAGTACCACACTGTCTTGATTATTGTAATCAAGCTTGATGTCAGTAGTGTTACCCCTCCAATTTTGTTCTTTTTTTCAAAGTTGTTTTGGCTATTGTCATTTCCTTAATTTTAGAATCAGTCTATAAGCTTCCACAAAAAAAAAAAAAAAAGGATTTTTATTGGAATCGCATTGAATCTGTAGATGAATTTGAGGAGCTGTGAAAAGTTGACCAGTAATTGTAATGGAACTCTAGTCTTAGACATGAGTTAGAGAGAACAGCGTGTGATACAGTGTGGAAAGATGGGATGGAATGGTCCCCAAGATGTACTGATGGTGGAAATGAGACCAGGCTGGGGAGACCGAGCTGAGGAATAAGTGAACATAAATGAGCAAATACTTTATCAGAAAAGCCCAAGTCGTTGGGCAGGCCGTTCTGGGAGCAGCTCAGGGTATGATTTCAAGCTGACATCAAAAGGATGTTCTGGAAGAAAGAACTGCAATGGTAAGCTCAGACTTGGTATAGAGGGGAAATAGAAGAGGAGTGTGACCAGAGGAAGTTCGGTGGCCGGAAGAGAGTGCCACAAGGCCCAGAAAGGTTGTGATGTAGTGTACACTGACGTCTGGCATCACACTTTCACAATTGCTGTAATGCCCGTCTCCAATAAAACAATAAAGGTCAGTGATTGGTTGTTGGTCTAGAACAGTAGGTCTCAGCTGAGGATGATTTAGCCCCGCCCCCCAAGGTTATCTTTGACAATGTCTAGAGATAATTTTGGTGGTCACAGCGATTGGGAGAGCAGGGTGTTACCCACTTTCATCTACTGGGGAAAAGTCAAGAATATTGCTAAACATCCTGCAATTAACTGAGCGACCCAACCCCCAACAAAAAGTATCTGTCCAACTTGTCAATAGTGCTGAGTTTGAGAGGGAGGACCAGAAAAGAAGGTAGAATAAGAGGGAGAACTGATTGTTGCTCTGAGATTTTAGGTGCCTGTATTGTCCCGAGGAGAAATACACTTCTTGTGTGGTGACCATGACAGTTATGCTGGATCAGAAGGGAGTAGTAGTCTATGGGAATCTTCTTTGGGAATGTTTTTAGAAGATTTCTAAAATGTTATCAAATAAAGCTAGTTCAAAAAAAGGATACTTGGTCGGACTTGGTGGCTCAGTCTGTAATCCCAGCACTTTGGGAGGCAGAGGTGAGTGGATTACCTGAGCTCGTGGGTTCGAGACCAGCCCAGGCAACTTGGTGAGACCTTGTCTCTACAATAAATAATAATAATAATAAAATTAGCTGGGCATGGTAGTGCACGCCTGTCATTCCGGCTACTTGGAAGGCTGAAGCGGAAGGATCACCTGAGCCCAGCCGGTCTACGCTGGGGTGGCTGTGAGTGTGCCACTGCACTCCAGCCTGGGTGATAGAGTGAGACTCCAACTCAAAAAAAAAAGATACTTAGCTATAAATAATTGAAAAAAAATCTGAGCACCTGATTTAACTCACTTAAGAAAACGATTTCCTTTGCACTGTCCATAGATGAGTTTGTCAATTCGTGTACTTTTGATTGCAAGTAATAGAAAACATAACTCAAAGTGACTGAAAAGAAAATGGAAATTTACCAACTCACGTAACTAAAAAGCTCAAGCTTCTTGCAGGAGTTGACCTGGAGGTTCAGTGTTGTCACAAGGTCATGGGTTCTCCTGTATCCCACTGCAGGCTTCCCTCCTTGCTCCTCCTTTGGTATCTGCCTGCAGTTTCCAGGATTACTTTTATTCTTGCTCACTCTCATCAGGATATAAATGACCTTCTCCAACCATCATGGCTTTCTCTTTGATGGGACCGTTTTAAGTTGTGTGTCCACCCGTGAACATGCTAATGCTTATAGCATTACTTCAACCTGTGCTGTCCAGTGCAATAGCTACTAACCACATATGGCTCTTGGTTTGAATTGAGATACCAGAAAAAAAGTGAAATATCTTATCTCGTTAGTAATTCTTTTTTATTTGTTTATTTTTTTTTTTTGAGTCAAGGTCTCACTCTGTCGCCCAGGCTGAAGTGCAGTGGCATGATCATGGCTCACTACAGCCTCGACCTCCTGGGCTCAGGTGATCCTTCTGCCTTGGCCACTGGAGTTCCTGGGACTACTGGCACACACCACCACACCCTGTTATTTTTTTTATTGTTTTGTAGAGACAAAGTCTCCCCATGTTGCCCAGGCTGGTCTTGAACTCCTGGGCTCAAGCAATCCTCCTACCTCCGCCTACCAAAGTGCTAGGTTTACAGGCATGAACCACTAAACCTAGCTGGTAATTCTTATATTAATTACATATCGAAGTGATAGTACTTATGGATAAATTGAGTTAGATTAAATATATTATTAAAATTACATTAAAAAATTTTAATCTATTAGACATTTTTATTTTATTTATCTATTTATGTATTAGTTTTTTGAGTTGGAGTTTCGCTCTATCCCCCCAGACTGAATTACAGTGGTACACTCACAGTTACCACAGCCTCGACCTGCTGGGCTCAGGCAATCCTTCTGCCTCAGCCTTTCAGGTAGCTGGGACTACACGTGCATGCCACCATGCCTGGCTAATTTTTTGATTTACTGTAGAGATGAGATCTCTCTAAGTTGTCCAGGCTGGTCTTGAACCCCCGGGTGCAGGCAGTCCTCTCACCTCAGCCTCTCAGAGCACTGGGATTACAAGTGTGAGACTCCGTGCCTGGCCAGAAATTTTTAAATTATATATAAATGAATTCAAATTGTATTTCTTGTGGAGAACAGTGACTTAGATCTTCCAGGGGTCCATGAAAATGGAGTGTAGTCAATCCCATCCAAACCAGGTGACTTACCTCCTGATACACAAAGGAGAAAGAGAAATGGGATGGTTAGTAGGCAAGTAACCAAAAATAAGCACTACGGTGATATTGGTGTATGCAAAGAAGGAATACTTGTTTATTTGCTATTTTTTTTTACTAAAGACAAATTTCTGGAAGTATTACGACTCTACTACTACTCATAAAAGCTAACAACTTTTTCATAAATGCAGCTTTGAAAATTATAAAATTAGTATGGCATTCATAGTAACTAGTGAAATAGAGCACAAAGGTATACAAAGAGATAGTATACGATCCCCATGTCCTCCAAACCCTGTCTCCATTTATTACCCTGGGTAGCCATTGTTGACAGGTCTGTGTGCCTCTGTTCTTATATGCACACAAGTGCTTTCATGTGCATTGGTTTGTCGTAGTTGTTGCTGCTACCTGTCTTAATCAGAATGTTAAGCACTAATGCTTCAATTGGCTTTTCTCTCCTTATCCATCTTCCATGTCAGCAGACACAGATTTATCCCATTCATTTTAATAATTATGTAGTATTCTGCATTGTAGATATACCACATTTCATTTGACCATTTCCCTATGAATGGACATTCATGTTGTGTTCAATGCCTCCCTTTTCCCTGCCCCACGACAAGCAATACTGCAATGAACATCTTTGTACCTATATCCTCACATACTGGTCCTTTTTTTTCCTATAGGATAGATTCCCAGAAGTGGAATTGCTTGGTCAAACGGTAGGTGTCTTTTTAATTTTAATAGATATCACTAGATTACTTTACCCAAAGGAATAGCACGTCACCTTCACACATAAGAGTGCCCATTTCCTGTGTTCTCATCAGCACTGATGTCACTGCCCTTAATTCTTGCCAATCTTATTATCTCTGATCATTACTTTAACTTGCATTTCCTTCACGATCACTGATGTCGAGTGTATTTTCATGTGTGTGGCTCATTTGAATTTCTCTTTTCTTCATTTTGTGTTCACTCCCACTGCCCATTTTGCCCTTTTCTAGTTGTTATTTTTCTTTCTCAATTTCTAGGAGCCCTTATGTTTTAGAAGTATTGCTCGTTTTATATGTTTGCAGATATACAGTTTTTATATTGGTTTGTGTTGTCTTTTGCCAAATGAAAGTTGTTAATTATTATCTAACCAGATACGTCTGTCTTTTTATTTATTGCTTCTCAGTTATCTGTTTTGCTCTGAGTGCTACTGACCCCAAGTCATTCAAATATTCTCTTGAATTTTCTTACCAATTTTTTAAAACATTTAAATCTTTCTCCAATTTTAAATTTTATGCATGATATGAGGTAGAATTCTATCTTTCTTTCTTTTTCCCCCCCTAGATGGATAACCAGTTACTTAAATCCTAGTTATTACAAGAATCTTAATTTTTCATGGGATTGAAATGATACCATATATATGTATTGGCCTATTTCTGGACTCTCTATTCTGATCCTTCTCTGTCTGTTTCTGTGCCAACATCATTCTGTTTTGAATACAGTGATTTCTTGTGACTAGTAATTCTGGTAAGTTCTCCTTCACTAGCTTTCTTTTCATACTTGTCACAACTATTTTTAGCCATTTATTTTTCTATGTGGTTCTAGTTAAATTCTAAAGTTTAAAATTGGAGGAGTTTTATCTTAAATGTTTTTACTGTGTTTTTCTATTTCTTAGTACATAGAACCATAAATTAATATTTCTTAGTATGGGGATCTCTTTTCCTAATCCACTGATTGGAAAGATATTTACTAATAAGCTGTCAATTTTAATTTTTAAAATGTTACCTTTCTTTATCTCTATGATAATTGTGTAATTACTCTGAGATGCAAATATGGGGATACAGGCATGACATTTTAATCAATCCAAAAATTAGATTATTCCATTAAAGCTTCAGTGGTTAAAGCATTCAATGACTATAACTTTGTAAATAATTTGTATTCCTATTTAAGTATGAAATTGTGAAGTATACCTATATCTGGATTGGTTGCAGGGTTTACAATGTGAGCAAAGAACTGTAATGAAACACATAATAAACTATGTACTTTGGAATCTTTTAGGATTTTTTATTCTTTTTAAGCTTAATGTTTTATATTATATGGACTTCAGAAATTGTCACACTTGAAATTTTGGGTAAAATTGTTCAGTATATGAGGTTTCTTTTGATAGTTCTTAACTTTTAATTCATACTGTATTAATATGATATTACCTTTATTTTATTTGCTGACATTCTTCACTACTTTTGGACATTTTATATGCTGTAATAGTAAAGTAATAAATACATTTGTGGTTTCCTAAAGGATTTTTGACATACTGGAGCTAAACCCTAAAAGTGCCTGGGATTTAAAATAACGATGATATTGGCTTACGAATGAACACATTTACAGATAAATGTGAGGCCTGTATTTTACTTATGGAAGCAGAGGGTCCACCCCATGTCAGTTCTACCTATGTTTACTTGGTTAAGTAGAAAAATCTTTAGTTGGTTCTATAGCCAAAAAGGAAATAGTGAAATTATTAAGGTATTTTGATCATCACTGAATGATAGTCTTGGACAAAATGCGATTATACTGTAAAAATTGAGGTTCCTACTTATTTAAATGATAGTATAATTCAAATAAATAGGTTGGCATGGTATTTTTTGCATGTCTATAAATATTAAAGATAGTGATTTAGAAAAGAGGGGAAAATTTAATTATTCACATCAAGACCAATAAAAAGAAGCAGAGTTAAATTGAACCCTTCTATATGAACCCTGCTGCTAACTGAAAACCAAAGAGTTTTGGTGTTTTGTTTTGAAGGAGGTGGTGAACGATCACCTCCTGGCTTTCATCTGGGACTCATGAAACCCTCTAACAGGTATTCCATGCATCCCAATTCTGGACTCCAATATCAGTCTCTCCTAAAGGACTTCAAGACTTGTTTTGAAATATAACTGGATATAATGATGGAGATAGGCAGAATTCTGTTGATTTTGAAACCATTTTTTTGCTAACAAATGAGGATGCTTTCAACAGTGTGTAGAGGTTGAGCTTTTGAGGAGAGATTAACCAGGTTGAAGGAACTTCTACTAGCTGATGGCAACAATGCAAGCCACAAGGAGGAAATGGTAATTATAAGCTATTCAAACAAGTTGAGCCTCTCAGGAGCCAAGAGTCAAGCATGATATATGCAAAGGTGACAGATTATACAAACTGTGCTACATAAAAGGCATATCATGTTTCCAAATCAGCTATATCTTAATGGACTCAAATTTGTTTTCCATGCTCAAGTTTTAATCTCCATCAAAATTGATGGAGTTTATGAACATAAATATAAAAAGATATAATTAGAGTATATTTCAAATATATATATCTGTGTAAATTCTACATTGTTAATCATAAAGTAAAACTATTTTAAAATATGTGTGTGTCTGTGTGTCTAAATTCTGGAAATTTAACACCATAATAAAAACCAATAAATAACAGATGTTATAAGATTAACAATAATAAAGGAATTTTTTTAAAAAAATAATACTTGTATTTACACCATTAATTTGTTCCAGGGCTACCCAGTTCCTAAAGACTCTGGAAGACAGAATTGATCAAATTACGATAGAGAACTTCTCTGTTTTTGTAAAACAGATATAAACCAGTGACAGGGGTTGGAGTGAAGATAGGCGTGCACAGGTAACACTGTAGGGCTTATTGTTTCTGAAACCAGAAAAGCCACAATTGCTACAGTGGACCAAGATGTCCAGAAGGCCACTTATGATTAGAGGGTACAAAATGATAAATTGGGAAGCATAGAACAATAAAAATAATGCTCACAGAACTTAAGGAATGAGGAGAGAAGCCCTGAAACAGCAACACTGGGTTTTTTAAAAAGGGTTTGTTGGCCGAGCATGGTACCTCACACCTGTAGTCCCAGCACTTTGGGAAGGGGAGGTGAGAGGATTGCCTGAGCCCAGGAGTTCGAGATCAGCCTGGGCAACTTGCAAGACCACATCTCTACAATAAATAAAAAAGAATAGCCAGGTGTGGTGGCACGTGCCTGCAGTTCTAGCTACTTGGAAGGCTGAGGCAGAGGGATCACCTGAGCCCAGCAGGTCGAGGCTGTGGTAGCCATGAGCGTGCCACCGCACTCCAGCCCAAGCAACAGTGACACTCCGACTAAACAACAAGAGAAGGTATGTGTTGATTTAAATGAATCAACTAAGATTATGTTAGAGCCTCCTGAGTCTAACATAAGAATATTGAGCAAGTGAATATTTTGTGCTGACCAGAAAACAATGATGTACCTCAAAAATATTTTGGGTCTTGTATTCAAAGGAGGACTCCTTAAGGCCAGGGATGACACCTGGACTTAATGAGATGAGGCTGACTGGAGCCCACCTTAGTTTGTAGGCATTCTTAATCTCCATAAAACTGAAGTAAAACATCCTTTTGTGACATTGAACCTTAAAATATGAGGCTGAGCTGAGTGATTGCCTGAGCCCGTGGGTTCGAGACCCGCCTGGGCAACTTGGCGAGACCTCATCTCTACAATAAATCAAAAAATGAGCCGGGCGTGGTAGCGCGTGCCTGTAGTTCCAGCTACTGGAAGGCTGAGGTGGAAGGATCGCCGGAGCCCAGCAGGTCGAGGCTGCGGTGGCCGGGAGCGGCCACTGCAGTCTGGGCGACCGAGTGAGACTCCAACTCAAAAAAAGAAAAATGTTACAGCTAAAAATTAAAATTGAATCAAGATCAATATTTTACACATTATCAATGTAAGACTTGTAAAATTTGTCTGCAGATGACCAAGATAAAATGTAACTTCATGTAACATTGCTCTAATTAAATAGTTATCTTGTTGTTGAAATAGTGCCCTTATTAAATATTATCATCATGTGTTGGGCACCAACTTAGATTTTCTCACAATGAAATGCCCTGGCGCCCCATCTTTATTTTGCTTCAGTCCACCACTAGAATATGTTAAACCTCCTACACCCAGGAGGTAGCAAAATAATGATGCAACAGATTCAGTGTCCATGTGGAACTTCCATATTGCTTAACATTTAAGCGGCTCTGTCAGTGGTAGAGTGTAGCATCCCCAAAGAAGATATAGTTCTTTTGGAGTAAGAACCCACTTTGTCCCTGGGCTCACTGTAGAAATTGTAAATCAGCTATAATTGTGACCCGAGTGCTCTTCTTTCCTGCTATCAGGTCTTTTTTGCCATTAAGAAATAAGCTGAGACCACTCCATTTATTGGGATGAAGCCATTGGGGCAGTAGTCAGTGACCCTTACTCTCTGTGCTTTAAAAAGGAAATAGCAGTCTCTTTCTTTTGGGAAACCTATTGTGAGCTGGTGACATGTGCCGCCGGCTGCATTTAACTTCCAGGTTAAGTCATGTCAAAAGACTACCTTTTAAAATGACACATTAAATTTGGCCCGTAGTTATTAATCCCCACAGTGTTTTTGAACATCTAAATGTTTAAATGTCAGTTTTCTTCCGTCATTTCTGCTGAAAAATGACAAATTCTAATTCTAATGAATGAAATAACTATTGGCAAAAAAAAATCAGTTCCTTCTAGTGTTGCGTTTGTTAAAGGCCAGCTTACTATCTCAGAGAAAGGGACAGGACTATTGAAATGTATGAATAGAAAACTTCAAAAGTGAACCTGTCAAAGTGTAGAGAGTAAAGATATTTTCAATATAATTGCAGTTGAATTCAGTAGTGAAAAAAAGAATTGTCAAAGGATTTCTGCTTAATGCCG